GTAACCATGGGCAACGGGAGAGGTCCAGGGTAACGACGTCACCAAGGACCATGCAGCTGCCCGGTCACTGCCCAATGTGTGCCAACTGACGCATGCACAAATGATTCAGCGCACGCCGAGTCTCCGCCCGAAAAGCGGCCATTTTGGAAACCTCCATTAGAGCACAATTTTTGGCCCATTTGTTTGAACAACGGAGTTAGGCGTGACTACGTCCGTTAATATTTACAGACTGTATCCGAATGTCCACACTATACCCTATATAGTGCACTATATAGTGGTCACGCCATTTTGTAGGGGTGTCCGAATGGTCGGCATTAGATCATATACGGAATCGGGACGAAACAGGAAGTAACGATCATACTTTCAAATTAGTTTTAGACTATTAAGTCCTTTAGTGGTAAGTTTTAAGTGTCTAAGCTGCCAAAAAACACATTTGAAGTCACAATACCATTGCCTTTTAATGCGAAACAACGTATCAATGTTATGCAGTGAAAGTGTTAGCATTTTTGCATATCATAACGCTAACATCTCAAGCTAACGCTACAGAAACGGGTCACTGGTCAATAATGTTATTAAAGCACTTGTGTTTTACGTGTAGCATTTATTGTGTAATGTTTTTAAAGGGACAAACACGGATGTGGAGAGGCTCATTCGTCTCTGGGTGAAAAACGGCGGCCTCCGTTTTGCTTCGGCGGCTGGATGGGAGTACGACCATTTATGAATGAATACTTATTAAAACATTTCTACTCGTATTAAAATACTTTTATGTATCGATACAGATTTCCACAGTTTCTCACGGGCAGTTAAAGACTGGCTTTTAGATCAACAGTCCTGCTCGCACTAAAAGTACCAGATGGGTACTTGGCCATCGCGGGTATCGTCTGATGGCCACCACACTATTAGTGTTAAAAACTATTGTATCTATGTGCTAATTATGTATAGCTACAAAATAGTTGTGAAAACTGTTGCACTTTGTCATTCTGCACTTTATGAATGCAACTGGCACTTTTCATCTGCACTTTTACTATATATTGCACAAATGTTTATTGTCTATGTTTTGTATTTTAATTAACTCTGTTATGTATTATGTATTTTAATTGTATTTTTGATTGTATAAGGACTACAGATGGAAATTAGCATTGTGCTAAATCTGGGGCAGCCATCTTTTTAATGTACCTGTCCGTTGTCCTTTTAAATAAATAACTAACTAACTAACTTTAGGGCAGTAATAAAGGAAATGGGGCTGAGCCGGCTAATCAGCCCTGGGAGAGCGGCCAAGAATACCTAAAAGGTTTGTTTCTTTGAAGCTTTGTGTGTAATTTGTGTACAGTGTGGAGCATATGTTATACAAAACTTACTGTTTTAAGAAGCTCAGACAGCCACGGACAGGGCCAGAAGGAGGGGAGCAAACTGAAAAAAAGTTCAGGATGACAAGGGACACTAAAATCCCCACAAAATCTGACCTGATCACAAAATCTGAGAAGCTGTAGGTTCTCTGTCAGGTTCTCTGTCAGCTGAGGTCGCGCTGTTTTAGTTTACATTGAGTTCTATGGGGAAAATGTCTGGGTAGCCCACGTGAATTTAGTCTGGTTCAGTCTGCAGTACCGCGAGAATCCCTCGAGCACATGAGTTCTTCAGCTTCAAGCTGTAATATCCTATCCAGTTATTATAATAGATCCATGGGATAGATCCATGGATATGGATTTTCACGTGGATGGCGTGACCATAGAACGATAGAACCGGGAAGCGCGGAGGAACGAGACTTTCTTTTGGATGGCTGTCTCGCTGTGTAAGCAGTAACCGGTGACGAAGACACACGACGCTTCAGGTTAGCTCCGCCGCTTGTTGTGCTAACTCAGCCGTCTATGCTAACAGAGACCTGTAGATTTCTCACAAAAGTGGGGGCCAGTGGTCCGCTGTGATTGGTCACAATCTGAGACCCGACACATTCTCTTCCTTGTTTCATCAAAACTCGATCTAAATATAACTCCGTTAGCATCAAGCTAGCAGCTTTTTGTGAAAAGCCAAGAATGCAGCTCTGTCGCGTCTTTTTCTTATTTCTTTATTTTATTTTTAAATGGTGCTTCTGCATCGGTGAACACGCTAACGCTAGCTGCGCTAGTTTAGTCACTACTAGCACTAGGAGCGCCCCTAGCGGTCAACTGACCGTCACTCACTTTAATATGCTAATTAGTGTATTCAAAACAAAACGCCAGAAGTTGAAATTTTATGACTTTTTCTAGGTACTTGTTGTTTATATTTTGGTGTGTTTTGGTTTTGGAAAAAGTAAAGAAAACAAGATTTACACGCATTTTAACTTTTCTAAACCACAGCCCTTTCTGCTGCCCCATAGGGATACATGGCGCAGCGGCGACTGTTGTCATAGTAACCTTTCCCGGGGGTTTTTCGCGCCTTATAAAAATGTATCAATATGTTTTCATTAGACTCTAAAGGGACTTTTTTATTATTATTTGGGAGAGAGGGAGGAGTACAAAATGAATAGAGCTGCAAGTACACGGTAGAAGCCCTGACAGTGCTTCAAGACATTGAATGAGAACAGTCTGACGGAGGTGAGAGATGTCACATTTTGAGGTAGAAAGTGACAGCGGGGAGAACACCTATAATATTCTAAATCTGAACGTAAACCCGTAGTGCATTCACGGCACGGACAGCAGTGTTGTAACAAGTCCAGAAGCAATAACGCACATGACCCGCGTAATGCCAGCCATACGCAGGTGTCTGTGTGCGCGCTGTCGCTCCATTCTGCCTTTTCATTCATCATCAATTACATTATTATATTTATACATAGAAGGCAATAAAGCAGAATACAATATCGCAATAAAATAGAACAATTAGATGAACTATCAAGGCAGAGTGCAGAGAGAGCGCTGTGAGGCCTCTCGTCACCCGCGGACACTGCAGGAGGAGAGCGACTGTGGCAGAAGCGGCCCTCATCATATCAATAAGGATATCATTCTTATTTCATTCAGATAACACTGTGTTATTCTGCACAGCGCGCACTGCAAGGCAATGATTATAATGTTGTTCTGAGCATAAAGAGCACTGCTTGTCTCAAATAAATACAAATATATATACATATATTTGTACAAATATATATACATATATTTGTATTTCTAACGTGTCCCGTGTAAAATTGAAGATTGTACATTGGCGATGGTAGCCTAGCTGATGATCTTGTGTCAATACGAATATTATTATTATCTAGATAATATTTCCCACGGTGATTTCGGCCTCTAAAAAGAAAACAGTCTGGAGATGACGTAAGAAGTAGACGCATATAGCAGCGCGAAGACGTTATGGTCCCGTGCTTTTCTAAACTATAATTTATATTGTTTGAATTTACATATTGTTATTGAGTCAAATATAACATATAGTGACCGACCTTTTAGGTGTTTGCAAAGTTACAAAATAAATCTAGCCTGAAAAGTCATCGTAATTTTGATGGATCAGTTTACGCACAATGTGTCGTCTTAGTCTTTTATTTCGGCTAGAATTACAATTACTTAGCATATTTAGACAAATAATTTACACAGTTTCATTATGATCACGATTCCTTTGCAACATCAAGTTCTGGTTTAGTGAACAATCAATTTGGCAAAAGTCTGTATCAGCGCAAAATACATAGCGGTCAACTGACCGCAGGGGGCGGTACAAGGTATGTTTAGAGCACGGCGGTCCTAGTGCTAGAGCCTGAATGAGAACTACTGTGTCCCCCATTGTCAATCCTGGTTAAGTCCTGGTTTAGTCCCGGTTTAGGTCCTGTTTTAGCTGTATTTTGTGTTTTTGAGTTATTTCAATCTGCTCGCTAGACCGTTAATGTTCCCGTGGCCGCTTTGCGGCTCTCTGACCTGAGAGAGGGACTACGTCCGTTAATATTTATAGTCTATGGACTGAAGATGTGCAGAGTTTGTGTAGTCCAACCCTAAACACTCGCTGCTGTTATTGCTGCAAAAAGGTGTTCCACAAAGTACTGGCGTGGCATGACTGTGATGATTCATCACAGCCTTTCAAGGCAAAATATTTATTCACGCTTTTGCTATCTCACAGCAGCAGTGTAGTTTCACAGGAGCAGTTGACTGCTTAAAACCAACTTTACACGAAACTCTTATAACATTTGTCTTAATTTGTTGGTATTTTAACTTTTAAAGCAACTCAGACTCTGTGTCGGCCATCTTGGATTGCTTCGGCCGCCGTGTGCAGCACATGCGCAGGTTTGTACGTCATAAACAGCTGAGGCAGTGTATCTCCACGTTACGGAGGCTCAACTTTAGTTTCATCAATATTTCTGTAAACTTGTCTTTGCTGACATGAATCCAATGTAGTCAATCAACCACTGACTATGTACTTTTGAGCTAGTTTTTAACTTAGCTTACCATTAGCTAGCTCCACGTAGGTGAGTTCTACGTTTGGCAATTCCCAAAGCTAATCTTGGCTAATGCTAAGCTAAAATTAAACGCAGGAAGGCCAAGTGTACATGAGGTTTTGCTGTTCTTGTGTGACGGACGTATTGGGTTGGCAACTCCCTGAAAAAAAATCATCCTTTGATAGTGAACATTTTTAGTGCAACGACAAAGGTGCAAACAGAAAGTGCATAGATTGTAAACGTTTGTGCCTCAAAGGCCATGACTGTGGGCTACAGTAAAGAGTAAAACAGAAAAACCAACTTGTAAACTCTTCAGCTCAATGCCACATGATGAGATGTCTTTTTTCCAGCTGTATTTCTTCTGACCTCTTGCTGCAGTGAGGAGGTGTTTGTCTTTTGGAAGTGATTTAACAGGTCGGATGTGTATTCAATTTTGATTGTAATTATTTTTTGGCCTAAACATGCAGGAAGTTACGTTGACAATTGGTTTCCCGCTCATAGCTGCAGCAGCAGAGTTCAGAATTCAACAGCAGAAAAACATGGCACAAAAACACCACCGCAACCGTGATAAAGGACAGCAACGAGACTAGGCCTCTGCACCTGCTTCTGCCCAGGGATGCACCGCCACACCCTGCCCCTGCACCCGCACCCACACCCTGCCCCTGCACCCGCACCCACACCCTGCCCCTGCACCTGCACCCAGCCCCTGCACCCACAAACAGCCCCTGCACCCGCACCCACACCCTGCCCCTGCACCTGCACCCGCACCCACACCCTGCCCCTGCACCCGCACCCAGCCCCTGCACCCACACCCAGCGACAACATCAACTGGGTCCAGTGTTGCAGACCAGGCTCCTGTAAGTAAGCTGCTCATTATTAGTTTCTATTTGCTTTTACACTCTGACATTTAACATGCTGTGTATTGTTATTGTAATACTTCCCTGCAGGCTCCTGTTCTTGGACCCAGTGGCGTCGCAGGCTGGGATAAGGTGCAGGATCTGGCTGAGTACCTGGTGTCCCTCCGTCAGGCACTCTATCTGGACGAGCAGCAGGTCACAGAGGTCATCCGTCTGTGGACTGCTCTTCCTGATGGGGACAAGAGGAAGATCCATTATCAGCCCAGACACCAGCCCAAGCTGACCCATGGACGCTTCAAGCCGCCGAAAAATACAGGAGTGACACCAGGTGTGGACAGTGTGAAGAGGTGCCTGATCGGTCATCCTGGGGGGCCGGCTCAGTGGCCCAGCACCAGTCGTTTAGTTGAGGCCATGTGCATCAAACTGTGTGCACTGCACAAGTCCCCAACTAAAAAGGATGGAGTCCGTCTTCCTCGTTGGACTAAGGTGCTCAACGACTACCACCACATCCGAGACCTGGTGCTGAACTGCCACACTCTGATGGAGGCCACGTCACTTCAGCTGTCTGTGCTGAATCAGAGGACTCTCACTCAGTGGTAAGGACAGTAGCATAATGTTTTACATTGACATTTGAAAGAAAGGGATAGCAGTTATTCATAATAAATATTTTTTTTTATTGCAGGTTTAATCGAAGGGAGAACACCCAGGAAGTCACTGTCCTCTCCCAGGGCCTTGCTGCAGAGGACTGCCTCGCTGTGGCCAGCTCACAACTTCCTGCTCCGCGGGAAAGCCTGGATGAGGCTCCCTCCACATCAGGGGCCCGGCACGAATTTGTCCTGCCTCCAAACCGAGCGGGACAGGCTCCTAAGCTGCGGCCTGGCAAACGACCTGCCAGTGCTACAGTTGTGCGGCCCATCACCCCAGCAGCTCCTCTTCCTTTAGTTCCTGCGCCACTGCCCCAGTTTTTTGTTTTGAACCTTGTGCCCACGCTGATTTCCAAAGGTGCAGGTGGCCCTTCAGCTGCTCGTCTCCTGGCTCCAACTCCTGTGTTTCCTGCCGCGCCCGAGGCTCCTGCTCCCACTGCCCCAGTGTCTGTGTCCCGCTTCACGCAGAGAAACAGACGACGCAGGGCAGAAGAGGAGGCCAGTGGAACTCACAAAAGACGATATGTCCGTGAAGTGGCATTTAACAAATGCTCCAAGTGTGGCCAGCCCAAAACGAAGGAGTTCGGCCACAGCCGGTTTGGCAGTGCCACCTTTTGCCCCAGTGTCTCTGGTGGCAAATCAAGAGAGGAGTGGCTGGTAGAACAACGCCAGCAGAAAACACATGGACAGCCACCTCCATAATAATATAATCTTGTAAATACTATACTGTAAATACTTGTAAATATTGTTTGTAAATATTGTTTGTAAATATTGTTTGTAAATACTTGTAAATACGTATCTATGTGTAGATAGTAATTTATTTATATTTTTCCATCTTTGTGTTATGTCTTAGTGTCATTTATATTACAGAATGTGCTATTCTATTTATACATTGTTAGTTGTTTATTGTCGTCTATTAATGTCTTATACTTATTAGTTGTAGCAAATAAATACGGTTTGTTCACACTTCTATTCATTGTGCTGCTTTAAGTTGCCTTGGGACTGGAATGTGCAATGTTTACTTAACTGAGGTCAGGGGCAGCGTAAATCACAGCAGCTTGTCTTTGAACACAAGTGTCCGGGGGGGGGGTCCGGGGGGGGTCAGGGCAGGTGCACATCACACGAACTTCAGTGACCCCTGTGTTCTTTTATGACTCCTGATTGCTACCAAGTTCAGTCTCAAATGCAGTTACATCTTTGGTACATTAATTACATGTTAAGCATAAACAGTAATAGCCTACATAGTTTTGTTGCAAAAATGATATATTTATACTTTTATGTGACCAAACAGTACAAATAAATCACTTAAAAATGAGCATTATACACTGTTTGCAGTGTGTGCAGTTACTTCACAATGCCTGGAACATATGTAGAATATATATTGACATAAAAGCTATATTATTTATTTATAATATTAATATCCAGTTATTAATTCACATATAAATAAAGGTCTGGGCACAGGAAATTACCAAAACAATGTAATAGTGTAAACAATCCAAGAACTAAACATATCTAACATAACTAATAAGATGGATGAAAGAATCTGCTCTCCTGCGGGACTATATAACGGATACAATGTTGCGGAAGGATGAGGCACGTGTCTGCTTTAACCCCAGGGCTGTGGGATCGAGGCCAGCCCTGGACTGCCACTGATATTTACAGTGTTTTTAATCTCAGAACCAAGACATGCAAAAATGTTCTTTGAGAATCCTCCTTTCATCATTCAGTGAAAACTCTCCCCCTTCCGCGCCATTTGCGCCGCTTTTGCGTGTGCGGGGGGCTAGAAGATTAGGCCCCTGCTTTTGCGCCGCACCCAGCCCCTGCACCCACACCCACACCCAGCCCCTGCACCCACACCCAGCCCCTGCACCCACACCCACACCCACACCCAGCACCCGCACCAGCCCCGCACCAGCACCACACCCAGCCCCTGCACCCACACCCAGCCCCTGCACCTGCACCCACACCCAGCCCTGCACCCGCACCCGCCCCTGCACCCACACCCAGCCCCTGCACCGCACCCAGCCCCTGCACCCACACCCAGCCCCTGCACCTGCACCCACACCAGCCCCTGCACCCGCACCCAGCCCCTGCACCCACACCCACACCCACACCCAGCCCCTGCACCCACACCCAGCCCTGCACCACACCCACACCCACACCACCCTGCACCCACACCCGGCCCCTGCACCCACACCCAGCCCTGCCCCTGCACCCACACCCAGCCCCTGCACCCACACCCAGCCCCTGCACCCGCACCCACACCCAGCCCCTGCACCCACACCCAGCACCCGCACCCAGCCCCTGACAGAAGAACACTGACTGAAGAACACTGTGACGGAAGAACACTGACGGAAGAACACTGCGACGGAAGAACACTGTGACGGAAGAACACTGCGACGGAAGAACACTGTGACTGAAGAACACTGACGGAAGAACACTGTGACTGAAGAACACTGCGACTGAAGAACACTGTGACGGAAGAACACTGTGACGGAAGAACACTGTGACGGAAGAACACTGCGACGGAAGAACACTGCGACGGAAGAACACTGTGACTGAAGAACACTGCGACTGAAGAACACTGCGACGGAAGAACACTGTGACGGAAGAACACTGCGACGGAAGAACACTGCGACGGAAGAACACTGCGACGGAAGAACACTGTGACGGAAGAACACTGCGACGGAAGAACACTGTGACTGAAGAACACTGACGGAAGAACACTGTGACGGAAGAACACTGTGACGGAAGAACACTGTGACGGAAGAACACTGTGACGGAAGAACACTGCGACTGAAGAACACTGTGACGGAAGAACACTGTGACGGAAGAACACTGTGACTGAAGAACACTGACGGAAGAACACTGTGACGGAAGAACACTGTGACGGAAGAACACTGTGACGGAAGAACACTGTGACGGAAGAACACTGCGACTGAAGAACACTGTGACGGAAGAACACTGTGACGGAAGAACACTGTGACGGAAGAACACTGTGACTGAAGAACACTGCGACTGAAGAACACTGCGACGGAAGAACACTGTGACGGAAGAACACTGCGACGGAAGAACACTGCGACGGAAGAACACTGTGACGGAAGAACACTGCGACGGAAGAACACTGTGACTGAAGAACACTGACGGAAGAACACTGTGACGGAAGAACACTGTGACGGAAGAACACTGTGACGGAAGAACACTGTGACGGAAGAACACTGCGACTGAAGAACACTGTGACGGAAGAACACTGTGACGGAAGAACACTGTGACTGAAGAACACTGACGGAAGAACACTGTGACGGAAGAACACTGTGACGGAAGAACACTGTGACGGAAGAACACTGTGACGGAAGAACACTGCGACTGAAGAACACTGTGACGGAAGAACACTGTGACGGAAGAACACTGTGACGGAAGAACACTGCGACGGAAGAACACTGTGACGGAAGAACACTGCGACGGAAGAACACTGCGACGGAAGAACACTGTGACGGAAGAACACTGTGACGGAAGAACACTGTGACGGAAGAACACTGTGACGAAAGAACACTGACGGAAGAACACTGACGGAAGAACACTGTGACGGAAGAACACTGCGACGGAAGAACACTGTGATGGAAGAACACTGCGACGGAAGAACACTGCGACGGAAGAACACTGTGACGGAAGAACACTGCGACGGAAGAACACTGTGACGGAAGAACACTGCGACGAAAGAACACTGACGGAAGAACACTGACGGAAGAACACTGTGACGGAAGAACACTGTGACGGAAGAACACTGTGACGGAAGAACACTGTGACGGAAGAACACTGACGGAAGAACACTGTGACGGAAGAACACTGACGGAAGAACACTGCGACGGAAGAACACTGCGACGGAAGAACACTGTGACGGAAGAACACTGTGACGGAAGAACACTGCGACGGAAGAACACTGCGACAGAAGAACACTGCGACGGAAGAACACTGCGACGGAAGAACACTGACGGAAGAACACTGCGACGGAAGAACACTGTGACGGAAGAACACTGTGCACAGTTTTGTAGCTACACCACTATGGAGCTTGAGAGCAAAGCAAAAACACATGTTGCCACGACAGACAAGCGACAAACACAGTGGAATTCCAACATCATGGAGAAAGAAGCCTTTGTACAAACTGTCAAAAAGTCGACTTCAGAAGTGAAGGTAGCTGAGATCTGCACAGATGCTGATTAAGTGGTCACACAAGAACATTGTGTATAAAACAAAGCAGTAGTTTGATATTGTCAAACCTAACTCACTGACGACCTCAACAGATCCACTCAGAGGCAGATAAAGGATCTAGGACACACCACAGCCTTGACGTGTGGCATGGCGCCAAAAGCCTTGCCAAGAAAATGTCATCAGTATGTTTTAGTCTCCATCTGTTTTCTCCAATTGACGCATAGGCGCCACCTACCAACTTTTTTAATATCATTATATTTACTGAGTTAAAAGGATAGACCTGAAGTTTTCAGATCAGTGTTGTGCTTGTGGCATAAGGAGACTCTGCCTCGAGGCTTCAGTGATGACAGTTTATCATCGTAAGTCATCTAGTCTATTCTTCAGCACAGTCCAGATGAAGTGCTACAGAAGGTTCTCGAGGCCTAAAGGGAGATCACGTCTGCCTCATGTGCAACACGGTGGTAAACAAAGCACCTGTGGCAGAGTCGCTGCGCCACAAAAATAAGAAGAGCTAAAGCGACTCCACGGCTGGAAAGAGAAACTGGGTGATTTTACCAAAAAATGCATCGAAGAAATCTACAGCAATTCTGCCATCGAAAATTAAATTGAAGAATTAAACAAATCTGGCCAGTTTATTCCCATAATTGAATTTATTTTGTAATATGGCACAATTCAATCGTATTTTTGTTAAGTTTTCCGATTCAGTTGAATTCTGTCTAAAATAGACAGTATTACCGTTTACAGCCTCAAGAACGTCCCAGTATGCTCGGATCATTTCATTTCTGGTCAGTAAAACTCATTTGGTGGAGCATAAAATGTTTTTCAGAAACAATCAGAAGTTTAAAGATAATATATTCTCTTGACACCGTTTAAAATGTTTGTTCACGTTCTTTTCAGAGTTCAGCTTGTCAAAGCACATTTATTTTGGTCTTCAAAGCTTTATATCATCTGTATATCATTTTAAAGCTTAGTTTCTCATCTGTACAAGTGCAGGAAATACCAGACTCTACAAAAACACTTCATTTCTTACCTTTGGAATTGTGCTGTGTCTGAAATATTGAAGTAATCCATGCTTTCTGTGGCTCATTAATCCCATAAATGTCCATGGAAAAGCAATATCCACTTGTGATTTCTGAAAAATAGTCCAGTTTGGAGAAATTATCCACGTCTCAAGCCGCTGATGTACTGCAGAGCGAGAGCAGTTACGGGAGACCACGCCCACGGCCTTCAGGCAGCACTTTGGGACCAGTGTTGTAGTCATTGGGGATTGTTTAGAGGTTTTCTTGGAGAGACCTTCAAATTTGTTATCTCGCACTTTGACATGGTCGTCACACAAACACAACAACAGTAACATTCTTAATTGGAACTGCGCCTCAAGGCCTGAATTCCTTTATCTCACTGGGATGGGGTGGAGGGTCTGTAGCTGATAGTGACTTACAGACAGAGGGTCTGTAGCTGATAGTGGCTTACAGACAGAGGGTCTGTAGCTGATAGTGGCTTACAGACAGAGGGTCTGTAGCTGATAGTGGCTTACAGACAGAGGGTCTGTAGCTGATAGTGACTTACAGACAGAGGGTCTGTAGCTGATAGTGACTTACAGACAGAGGGTCTGTAGCTGATAGTGGCTTACAGACAGAGGGTCTGTAGCTGATAGTGACTTACAGACAGAGGGTCTGTAGCTGATAGTGGCTTACAGACAGAGGGTCTGTAGCTGATAGTGGCTTACAGACAGAGGGTCTGTAGCTGATAGTGGCTTACAGACAGAGGGTCTGTAGCTGATAGTGGCTTACAGACAGAGGGTCTGTAGCTGATAGTGGCTTACAGACAGAGGGTCTGTAGCTGATAGTGGCTTACAGACAGAGGGTCTGTAGCTGATAGTGGCTTACAGACAGAGGGTCTGTAGCTGATAGTGGCTTACAGACAGAGGGTCTGTAGCTGATAGTGGCTTACAGACAGAGGGTCTGTAGCTGATAGTGGCTTACAGACAGAGGGTCTGTAGCTGATAGTGACTTACAGACAGAGGGTCTGTAGCTGATAGTGGCTTACAGACAGAGGGTCTGTAGCTGATAGTGACTTACAGACAGAGGGTCTGTAGCTGATAGTGACTTACAGACAGAGGGTCTGTAGCTGATAGTGACTTACAGACAGAGGGTCTGTAGCTGATAGTGTCTTACAGACAGAGGGTCTGTAGCTGATGTCCCTGCTGATGCTGTAGGGTCTGTGTTGTTGATCAAACTAATGTTATGAAGGTGTCTTGTCCTCGATGAAGACTGCAGTGCTTCAGAACATGAGGACACACCGCCACCTGCCGCCATTTTGACACTGGTTTGTCGTCCAAAATGGCCGCCGTGACGTAGGATCCCTCTCTGCTTTGGTTTACTGTGTTTTAGCAGATCTGGGTTGTGCAGTGTCTGGCATAACTCAAGTGCTCTTATTTCAGGGGACTTTATCTCTTATTGTATTACTTTTAATATTAGCTCTGGGCAATCTTTTAGTTATGCTTTTAACTTTTTTTCCGGTGCATAAGGATAGCATTTCATATAGTAATAACATTATTAGTGGATAAAATAAGTCCCGTAGTCCCACACAGAGAAAAACTTATTTCAACAAAAAATATAACATACATACCAAACACATAGACCAAACGTTTTTAGCAACCAAATCAGATACTGAGCTCCTGGGGCTGCGGCAGGTCAAAGATGTGAGTGGGTTGTAGAGAGGTGCAGAAAAGAAGAGGTGCAGAAAAGAAGAGGTGCAGAAGTGCCAAAAGGATACAGGTCTGTATTTACTGTCACAACCATTACACATGACAGTAAAGGGGCTTTTGTCAGTAAAATACCTGAAGGCTTCAAATACAGAGACTGTAACCAGCAAGAAAATATCATTCCCCAGAGAAATTAACTCCATCCTTAAAGAAACCACCCTGACCCTGTCTCCATGCACCAGAGACCAGAGGGAGACCAGAGAGAGACCAAAGGGAGACCAGAGAGAGAGACCAGAGAGAGAGACCAGACAGGGGGACCAAAGAGAGACCAGAGAGAGACCAGACAGGGGGACCAAAGAGAGACCAGAGAGAGAAACCAGAGAGAGAGACCAGAGAGAGACCAGAGAGAGAGACCAGAGAGAGAGACCAGAGAGAGAGACCAGAGAGAGAGACCAGAGAGAGAGACCAGAGAGAGACCAGAGAGAGACCAGAGAGAGACCAGACAGGGGGACCAAAGAGAGACCAGAGAGAGAAACCAGAGAGAGAGACCAGAGAGAGACCAGAGAGAGACCAGAGAGAGAGACCAGAGAGAGACCAGAGCAGTGACCTAGAGCAGTGTGTGGTCATGCACTGAGCACTGTTGTCCAGCAGATGGCGGTGTCGCTGTGATAATGAAGCAGCCGGACCATGAACCTCCAGGGTTTCTTTAGCACAGGGACCAGGGGACGTTCCAAATGCAGCTGGTTGGAGATCACACCTGGTATCTGTAAGATTTATATTCTTATTGTTTATTTTCCCTTCAGGGTCGTGGAACGTCGCCTGGTTTCCTTTGTGTATTGCTCTTAAACATTCATCTTGTTTTCAGAACCTGTTCTTTATAATATTCATGCTTTGCTGAAAATGAATGAAATACAACTGTTCCGTGATAAATCCTTGAATCCACTCCTGAGTGAAGTTACATTAATGTTATATGCTATAATGTGTCTTATATACATATGTGTGATTTATATATATATGTGTGTGTCTATATATAAAACAATAATAATAGATATAAGACACATAAACACACAAAAGCTATATTTATGAACTTTTAACCCCCTTCTGCAATGTGGGGGTGTACCCGGAATAAGAATTACCCAATGCTTTTGTACGGCGTCTTCTTTCCTCTCGAAAACATCTTTACAGGACGGTCCAAAAGTGGCTCTTGGTCCAAATGTGGCTCTTGGCCCAAAATGGGTCTTGGTCCAAAAGTGGGTCTTGGTCCAAAAGTGGCTCTTGGTCCAAAAGTGGCTCTTGGTCCAAAAGTGGCTCTTGGTCCAAAAGTGGCTCTTGGTCCAAAAGTGGTTCTTGGTCCAAAAGTGGTTCTTGGTCCAAAAGTGGTTCTTGGTCCAAAAGTGGTTCTTGGTCCAAAAGTGGTTCTTGGTCCAAAAGTGGCTCTTGGTCCAAAAGTGGCTCTTGGCCTAAAAGTGGACCAGTCTAGTCCTGTCGCTGTTAATTTTTGAATGAATTTTACATTTTCCTGAGGGAGGGGCTGCCTGCGGCCATTTTGAAAATAGCTCCATAGAAGCCAAAAGTGATGTCACATTAGTTTCTGCCGCGGAGATAGTCGTGAGCACGTTCCACTGATACTTAGTCTGTGGGGTCTCCCTGAGGTCTCTAACTTTACTCTAACCTGGTTTTTAGAGCTGTTCTGCTGCAGGAGGCTCTAAACACAGACGATCCAAACGCTCCACCTCCAACATCTTTTACACCGGTCTCTGCTCCTCATGGACCGATGTCTCCGTGAGTTTGTTATTGTTGAACGGTTTGATTCTCTGATCTGTGTTGGTGAATCAACAACTGTGGAAAGTCCTTGTGATTTAGGGCTATACAAAAATACATAAATTGAATTTTATTATACATATAAACTTTTGCTCTGCCTCAAAATCCCATCAAACCAACGCTCCCAGGAACAAACACAACATGGAAAATAGAGAAATACTGTTTTAATGTTTGGATCGTTGTTAAACGTGTGTTTCTGTGTTTCCCGAGAGAACAGCTGTGGATTCTCTTCAGTGATTTTTATTTAAGAGAATCACAGGCTCTGCTTTTATTAAAGACACACATCACAGAGAATTACAGGGAACGGTGTGTGAGTGTGTGTGTGTGAGTGTGTGTTGTAAAGTCAACAAAGTGAGGA